TCCCTCTCCTTCCTCTCTGTAAAAATATCAATAAAATATATTTAAAAAAATAAAAAGAAACTCTGAATCTATCTAATGGCAATAGATCCGTTTGCTAAATATAATTTAAGTCAGAATAAATGGTACTAAATCAGGGTGTAAACAACTCACAGTGAGATTAAAAGGGGCACAGCAATCACAGATTCCTGGCTCTCAGTACCTTGTTTCTCTGAATGCAGAGCTGCTCCTGCTCGGTTTTTCCAGAGGGGTGAAGGGAGGAAGACTGCCTGACTATATGGGCTATAAGCACAGACCATAGGTCTGAAAGCTCCTTATAAACACTTTCAAATAAACCACCTGTTTAGCTCTGTATCTGCCCTTCCCCCATAGCCCTCTCCTCTGGTCGTTCCTTATGGAGTCAACTCCTGAGTGTTTCTGGGTTCATCAGCTGTCAGATAATTTCTGGACTGGCACCCTTTGCAGGCACTTGGGCTTGTCCTCCTTTTGTTCTGCTAAGTCATTTGCCAATCCTCTATGGATTCCATGTGGATTCTGGTGTCTTTTTGCTTGGGTGATTTTTCAAAAAGGCAGTACAATGGAAATTACTTAATTCTTTCATCTTACTACCTGCCTTGATTATGAGATTACTGCAATTTCACAGCTAAGTTGACGTTAAGAAAAGAGTATTGATAATAGAAGAGAAAATTTTAAACTCAAGCTATAAAAATAAATATTTTATAGAGAAATTTTTCAACAATGTGGCAAGTAAGGTAGGAGAAGATGCTCTGTGGTTTAGGAAAGCAGAAAGAAACTTCAAAGTATTGCCCAAATCATCTGAAGCAGGCCACTGCCCACTCTGTCAGAAGAAAAGAACAAGTTAGTAATGCACAAGTAATCCAAACCTTCACAAATAAGGTGAACTCTTCCACTTTCTCACTGGTTATCTGCAGTTTCTTCTGTGCACCTTCCAGGGCCTGCTCACTTTGCAATGCTAATCCTTGAAGCTGCTTAGAAGCTGCTGTTTCAATTTCTGCCATTGCAGATTCAGTCTCATTTATTTTTGATACTAGGAGAGAAAGCTTGAGATCCTGCAAAATACAGTAGTCATGGAATAAAGATATTTCATAAGCAGATTTGGAAGAGGTAGTTACCCAAGTCAGATAAAGGATTTCATGACTCTCTATATGTGTATTTATTTTATTTGGGTAAAACTGATGGTTGTATTTATTTATTTTCAACAAAATAGCCTGAGCACACATTCTTTTTTGTTGTTAATCCTCACCTGAGGTTATTTTTCCATTGATTTTTAGGGAGAGTGGAAGAGAGAGGGAAAGACAGAGAGAAACACTGATGTGAGAGAAATACATCGACTGGTTGCCTCCTGCATGCGCCCCAACCAGGGCCTGGGCTGGGGAGGAGCCTGCAACCAAGGTAGGCACCCTTGACCATAATCGAACCCAGGACCCTTTGGTCCACAGTCCAACGATCTATCCACTGAGCCAAACCGGCTAGGATGTGAGTACATATCCTTATATATTCATCATAAAAATTAATTTATGCTTTCTAAAAGTAATAAATCTCATATAGCAAATGGAAATATTAAATGAGTTTGTAAGTTTAGGTGGACTTAATTTATATCTACTTGTTCCAGTTATTAATAATAGTTTTCATTTATGAGAAACTAGGAGCCCAGCGCGCGATTCAAAATCGCACGGCACCACCCACCCTCCAGTCTGGCCCTGCCTCCCTCCCCAGGCCCCTGCTGCTCTGCCCCCCGAGGCTGCACGAGCAAACTCCTCCTGTCCGGTTGACCCGTTACAGTATCCCGGTTAATTAGCATATTTCTCTATTTTTTATATATATATGTAGATTATCAAGACACAAACTCTGTTTCTCTAATGTAGCAGTACCTTTAATGAAAACAGATTCTCAGTGTTTCATGTAGAGATAAAAATGTTCTTTGCATTTATCTGAAACATTTAAGTAGCTCATAATAGTTTGGGGGAGAAAAAAATGACAATTTAAAAAATAAAAAAGACATTGCTATATTCCATTTCTAAGCTAAACTGTCCTAAAAGCATACCTTTTTTTCTAATTCCTCTTTAGTTTTCTGATACATCTCTTCATACTGTGACTTCTCTTTAACAGCGACACTAAGTCTTTGCTTTAGTGAATCAATTGATATCTTCTTGTTGGAACACTCTTCAGTCAATGTCTTTACCTAGAAGTGAAAGCATAAAGGTAATTATTATTGGTAAAGGCATTCTAATAGTGTACTTTTTGTTTCAACAGAAACCAAATGAACACATGAGTAAGTCTAATTTCATCTGGTTTCTCATAAATAATATCAATTTCAAGTATAAGATTTGTAGAACTAATATTATAAATGAGACTAATAGTCCTTAAATCAATAGCAAAACTAAATATTGCACCAAAGAAGTATAAATGCTGGCATGTGTAGTCTTTCACCTAATAATACAATACTAATTTAAACTACATTTCCTTTAATTACTAACCTAAACCTCCTTAAGCAGGAATGGTTGTTTTTGATTCTTAAATAAGCTAAGTTATGGATAATTATTTATTGTATTCTCCAATATTACATGTACTTTTAAGAATAAAAGTAAGTGATGCAAGATATTTATTATACATATGAAAAAATAGAGGAAATAATTTTTCTTTTTCCATTGAATGCCAATAAAGATATATCATTACTATATTTAAAATAATTATTAAAGTTAAAAAATAAGAAGATTTAAAGGATAACATTTAAAGGATAACATTGAAAAACTATAAGGAAGTAATTATAATTTATGTGGTGTGTGGAGGAAAAAGAAAGAAATCCATATACACTTGTCTTGATGGTATAAAATTTTCTCCCTTAAATCCATTTGAGCTAATAGATACTTATATATTTTTTTTTAAATATATTTTATTTATTTTTTACAGAGAGGAAGGGAGA